ATATTATAAATATTACTATTATAATATTTATAATTATAATATTTAAGGGTAATGATGTAAAAGAAAATTAAAAGAGCTTGGAATGGATATTCCTCTCATATAAGGAAAGAATGATGATTCACCCATTTGATGAAAAAATCATTCCATTTTAAATGGTCATTCTTTTTCCTAAAACTAACTAAACAAAAAAATGAATATTGATTTCTTTCTATTCCTCCCAACCAAACACACCCTAAGGGTGCATTTGGTTGCAGTGGCGAAATGATAATGAGAATGGTAATGGAATGGAATTGAAATGTGCTGAAATTATAAATTGATTCTTTAATTTGGTTGGAGTTATGGAATCAATACCTAAATGAGGATTATGCTGTTTGGTTGACAACGGAATGGAATAGAAGTAAACTATATTTTGACAAAAATACCCTGGATTACTAATCATAAATAATTCAAGATTTAATAATTAAAATAGTAAAAAAATAATTTAATTATTGAAAAAAAAACTATTTATTTGAAGGATAAAATTTAGAAACTATATTTCAAGGGTAAAAAAATAATATTTGATTTTTTATGTAATAATAAAGTATCACAAGTTCAAATATAATAACTTTTGACATTTACCATGATATGTATCGAGTAAAATGATCACTTTGGCCCCGGTCAATAATAAAAATGAATCAATATATCATTCAACTACATATATAATCTCAAAATATAATCATACACCAAAACTAGTAGATTCACTTATATATAGCATCAATCACCTGTCAAGTTAAGCAAGTTCCTAGTTAATATAATTTAACAAAGTGAAACATAATCCTAATTAGTTAGGATATCAAAAGAGAAATGCATAACACATACGTTATAATATCTTTATGTAACCATAAAACTAAATAATCACTCCTAAATGTTGCCTCGGAACCCCTACCAGTTACACAATCATACATAGATCTACCAAAGATGATGATCCTTCCACAAGGCATGCTGACAGCAACGTGATCAAGTCTAGGAGGAGGAATCACAACACTCTGGCTCCCAACACTGGTGAATGCACTACACTCAAGCTGCCCCCAACTGTATAAAAGGGGCTTTTGTTTCAAAATTTGAAACAAGAACATAAAAAAACTATAGAATTTCTATAGAATACTGATTGGTGGTGTATTTCTTACAATACGACTTCCAAATAGAAAGGCTTTGCAGAGAAATTTAGACATGGGTTTTGAAATTTAAGATGTATAAAAGAAACTTACAAATTGTGGACAACCAATTTTTACATAAACTGAAGAAAGCTCGAGTCTTTGTACGGGAAGTAATAAAATTCCAAATAAAATTCAAGCTCGAGTCTCACAGCAGAACAAAATCTGGCAAGAATAAAAGAGAGTTCCTTTTCTGACGACAAAATCAGATTTGTGACAACAAAAGAAAAATCACAAAAAAAAAATCTCATGGCACTCAACAGTTCTATACTTGTTCGAAGCTCGAGCTTCAAACTTCAATTCCTCAACATACGAAGGAGATTTCGGATGAAGATGACGAAAAAAAAAGGTTTTTACTTTTTAGGGTTTGCGAGAAGAAGAAGAGGGTGAGAGTCTGAAAGAGGGAGAATATGTGTACAGAAATTACCCTGAAGAGCCTTTCTTGTTGATTGCGCAAGGACAAGGAGGAGCGCCGGAAACAACTGGGCTGGAGATGGAGAAGCACCGGAAAGACCAGGGCTGGAGCTGGGGATATTTTGGACAAAAAGGAAATAAGGCATCAATGGAAAGACCTTTCCATTGGCCCCCCAAAGGAATAAGCATTCACTCAAATTGAGTGAATGGCTCTCTGTAGGAAAGCCTTTTCCAACCCAAAAAACAAAACCAAATGATGGAATTAAATGGAATGTGGGCCCCATCAGTGGGTGATAAAAAACATTTGAATTATTTTCATAAATACTACTATATTTCAAAGTGCCTTCTATTTTTTTAAAACAGTTCAAAACATTTTTTAATTTGTTAAGGTGACATGTCATTAAATGTTTATAAATAATATTTTGACATAAAAACTTTAATTATTAATAAAAAATCCAAATATAAATCATTTAAATTTATTTTAAACAAATATTAAATATCAACTTTAGAATCAAGAACACCAACTTCTTGAAAAAGGTTGAAGGTTTTCATCGAGAACCTTTTGAGCTTTTAACCACCATTTTCCCTTTCAAATTCACGAGACAACATGGTGAAGATTATAAGAGATAATTTTCATCACCAAATTTCGGTCTATGATGTTCAGCAACAAATTTTTACTTAAAAATTTTCTTACTACAAAAAATTTTCTCAGAAACCAAGCAACGAGCAAAGGCTACATAACACAAATTTACAAAAAAAAAAATAATAATAATAAATAAATAAATAATAATAATAATTAACTAACAAATTTTGAGAAATCTCGAGCTTCCCACCGCTTGAAAACGTAAATCTTGTATGGTATCTGTGCCTCGCTCGGCGACTTCACGAGATTGGCCGCCTTGGATGCAAGTGAAGGCGTAGAAGGCCGAAGAGGATGGAGGTAGGTTGACATGGGGAAGGATGACGGCGTCATCGAGGAATGTAGTGGTGGACGGCCGACCAGCGGAGGGCGTAGGCGCTCTTATCGAAGAGGTCGACGGAGACACCGACCTTGCGGCAGGAAACGCCGTGGGGATGGGTGGCCCTCGGATCTCTCACTGAGGAGTGGGTGGTGGATTTTGATGGAGGGGAGTTAGGGCTTGGGGTTTTTGATCAGGGAGAAAATGGGGTTTTGAGAAGTGGCAGGCTGAAGGAAGAGGAAAGAAAATTTTGTTTTATTTTTTAAAATTTTTAATATATTTAATTAGAATTTAATTGTTTAACTAATTTTTAATAAATACCACGTCAACAACTCCGTTAAGATTATAGACGAAAGTTATGGAAGGGGTAATTTCATACGTTTTCTACTTTTTTTTGGAGTGTTTTGAACAATTTTAAAATTTTAAGAGACATTTTAAAATATGTTACATAATTTAAAGGGTATTTATAAAAATAACTCAAAATATTTTTGTTTGGCTTCTGAATGAGATTCGGCTTTTTTTACGTTTTAGCTTGAAAATAATTTGAGTAAATAATGGTTATATTTATTTCACTAATTTAATTTAATTTAACTCAATTTAAATAGTACGTACATTTTAAACTGAAGTTTAATGAACAAACAGTTTAACACATATTAAATACAAATTTAAACCACACATCTAAATATCTATTTAAACTATATAATTAAATTTTTTTATTTAAATTAAAAATTAAAAATTAATAAAATTTAAATAAGTAAACTAAATAGCGTGAACGTAAATTCTAAACGACTTCTCACTTGGAATCAGACTTATTGAGTTGTCTTTACAACTATCTTGCACGCTATTCACCAAATCCAATTATCTTGTACGTTGTGATCACGACGAGCAAACACGTACCCGGGTCCTCACACAAAATATCATGCATTGGAGATTTGCTACTGAAAACGACAAATAGAATGCAACGCATCACTAATAACCTGTCAGTCTAGCTGAAAATAATGAGAAATCTGCATATCTTTTCTTTTCTTTTTAACGTGAGAAATCTGTCTATTCTTTTTTTTTTTTTAATTTGATTTGGAAAAACATCCATTCCTTTAGAAAGCTCCCTGAATTACAAAAACCTTATAAATTTTATCAAAATATGAAGTGGAGAATTACATGGTATGATATACACTTGTTAACGGTCAAATCATCAGGCTCATACCTATATGAAGGGGAAAAAAATCACTCATCATATTAAGAAAATTAGGACAATTAATAAGATCCAATCGATTGGTCAAAACTGTACCTTTATTGGTAAAATATTTTTTCATATATCACATCACATAATTGCTAAATTATAAGAAATTAAAAAAATTAAATATACTAAATTGTTTTATAGATTACCCTGGTAGTATGATAAAGTTTTAAACAATAGACTATACTTGGACAATTATTTCATAAACTCCAAAAGTATCGAACTAAACGTATAAACTCCTATGCATTGAAATTTCGAATACCTAAAATTGTGTTGTGTAGAATATTAGAAGTTTAATAGTTTCACTCAATAATAATAAAACATATCCAACCAATTTTAAATAAAATATATCCAAACTAAAAATCATGTATTAATTTTAGAATACAAAACATAAATAAAAATGTGAATTGTTGACCCATCCTGGCCCCTAAGCGTCCCACTGCGCGAGTCAGGGGTGTTTTGACAGTGTTTTTTTTTCATTTTTTGAGGTCATTTTTTTTACCGACTTGCTCAGAAAAAAATGTAAGTATCGTGTCTGTGAAAATTCAGAATATTTTGACGTCATTTTTATTTTATTTTATTTTCAAAGATGAAAAATAGATAAAATCATAAAAAATAGAATATTCAAAAATAAAATGGTGCTACTTGTTGCATTAATTCTTAAAAATCGTGTATTAATTATAGAATGCAAAGCATAAATAAAAATGTTAATTTTTGACCCAGCCCGACCCTTGGGCGCCACACTGCGCAGGCCGCAGGCTTTTTGACAGCGTTTTCTTTTTTTCATTTTTTTCAGGCCAGTTTTTGCAAGCACGTTCAGAAAAATGTACAGATCATGTCCGTACAATTTCAGAATATTCTGACATCGTTTTATTTTATTTTATTTTTTAAAGACAAAAAATAGAGAAAATCATAAGAAAGATAATATATATCAAAAAATGGTGCCACTTGTTGCATTAATTCCTAAAAATCATGTATTAATTTTAGAATACAAAACATAAAAAAAAATGTCATGGGCGCCCCACTGTGCGGGCCGGGGACTTTTTGATAACGTTTTTTTATTTTCATTTTTTGAGGCCATTTTTTGCAGGCAAGTTTAGAAAAATGTAAGGATTATATTTGTAAGATTTCAAAATTTTTTGACATCGTTTTTATTTTATTTTATTTTTTAAAGATGAAAAATAGATAAAATCATAAAAAATAGAATATTCATAAAAAAATGGTACCGCTTGTGGCATTAATTCCTAAAATTTGTGTATTAATTTTATAATACAAACCATCATGGCTCTTGGGTGCCCCACTGCGCGGGCCGGAGACTTTTTAACAATGCTTTTCTTTTTTTATTTTTTGAGGCCATTTTTTGCAGGCATGCTCAGAAAAATGTAAGGATTGTGTCTCCAAAATTTCAAAACATTTTGACGTTGTTTTATTGTATTTTATTTTTTAAATACGAAAAATAGAGAAAATCACATAAAAAAAGAATATTCCTCAAAAAAATAGTGCCGCTTATTGCATTAATTCCTAAAAATCATGTGTTAATTTCATAATACAACACATAAATAAAAATGTGAATTTTGGACCCATCCCAGCCCCTCGGCGCCCCACGGCACGTGTCGGGAGCTTTTTGACAGCGTCTTATTTTTCATTTTTTAGGCCATTTTTTGCATGCATGCTCAGAAAAATGTAAGGATCATGTCTGCAAAATTTCAAAATTTTTTAGCGTCGTTTTTATTTTATTTTATTTTTTAAAATACAAAAAATAGAGAAAATCATAAAATATAGAATATTCATCAAAATATGGTGCTGCATGTCACATTAATTCCTAAAAATTGTGTATAAATTATAGAATGCAAAGCATAAATAAAAATGTAAATTTTTGACCCATCCCGGCTCATGGGTGCCCCACTGTGCGGGCCGAGAACTTTTTGACAGCGTTTATTTTTTCATTTTTTGAGGGTACTTTTTTGTAGGCATGCTCAAAAAAATGTAAGGATCGTGTCTGCAAAATTTCAGAATTTTTTGACGTCGTTTTTATTTTATTTTATTTTTTAAAAAAGAAAAATAGAGAAAATCATAAAAAAAAGAATACTCATAAAAAAATAGTGCCGCTTGTTGCATTAATTCTTAAAAAATTATGTGTAACTTATAGAATGCAAAACATCACTAAAAATGTAAATTTTTTACCCATCCCGGCCCCTAGGCACCTCACTGCACGGGCTAGGGGATTTTTTATAGCGTTTTCTTTTCATTTTTGAGGCTATTTTTTGTAGGCAAGCTATGAAAAATGTAAGGAGCGTGTGTGTAAAATTTCAAAAATTTTTGACGTCGTTTTTATTTTACTTTATTTTTCAAAGACGAAAAAGAGAGAAAATCATAAAAATAGAATATTCATCAAAAAATGGTGCCGCTTGTTGGCTATTGCATTAATTCCTAAAATTTGTGTATTAATTTTAGAACACAAAACATAAATAAAAATGTAAATTTTTTAACCATCTCGACTGCTGGGCGCCCCACACCGCGGGACGGGTCTTTTTTACAGCGTTTTTCTTTTTTTCATTTTTTGAGGTCATTTTTTTGCAGGCATGCTTAGAAACATGTAAGGATCGTTTCTGCAACATTGCAGAATATTTTGACGTTGTTTTTATTGTATTTTATTTTTTAAAGACAAAAAATATAGAAAATCATAAAAAAAGAATATTCCTCAAAAAATGGTGCCGCTTGTTGCATTAATTCTTAAAATTTGTGTATTAATTTTAGAATACAAAACATAAATAAAAAGATAAATTTTTTAACCATCCTGGCTCCTGCGCGCCCCACTGCGCGAGCCAGAAGCATTTTGGCAGCGTTTGTTTTTTCATTTTTTGAGGCCATTTTTTGCATGCGCATCTCAGAAAAATGTAAGGATCGTATCTGAAAAATTTCAGAATATTTTGACGTTGTTTTTATTGTATTTCATTTTCTAAAGACGAAAAATAGAGAAAATCATAAAACATAGAATATTTCTCCAAAAATGGTGCTGCTTGTTGCATTGATTCATAAAAATTATGTATTAATTTTAGAATACAAAACATAAATAAAAATGTAAATTTTTTACCCATCCGGCCCCTAGGTGCCCCACGGGACGTACCGAGAGCTTTTTGACAGCGTTTTGTTTTTAATTTTTTGAGGCAATTTTTTGCAAGCATGCTCAGAAAAATGTAAGGATCGTGTCTGTAAAATTTCATAATTTTTTTTATGTCATTTTTATTTTATTTTATTTTTCAAATATGAAAAATAGTGAAAATAAAAAAATATAGAATATTCATCAAAAAATGGTGCCGCATGTTGCATTAATTCTTAAAAATTGTGTTAATTTTAGAATGCAAAACGTAAATAAAACTGTAAATTTTTTACCCATGCCGACCCATGGGCGCCCCACTATGCGAGCTAGGGGCTGTTTGACACCGTTTGTTTTTTCATTTTTTGAGGCCATTTTTTGCAGGCATTCTCAAAAAAATGTAGGGATCGTGTCTGCAAAATTTTAGAAATTTTTGATGTCGTTTTAATTTTTTGTTTCAAAGACGAAAAATAGAGAAAATCATTAAAAAAAAAGAATATTCATCAAAAAAATAGTGCCACTTGTTGCATTAATTCCTAAAAATCATGTATTAATTTTAGAATGTAAAACATAAATAAAAATGTAAATTTTGTACCCATCTCAGCCCGTGGGCACACCACTGCGTGGGTCGGGATCTTTTTGACAATGTTTTGCTTTCCTCATTTTTTGAGGCCATTTTTTGCAGGCATGCTCACAAAAATATAAGGATCATGTATGTAAAATTTCAGAATATTTTGACAACGTTTTTCTTTTATTTTATTTTTCAAAGACAGAAAATAGAGAAAATCATAAAATATATAAATATTCATCAAAAAATGGTGCCGCTTATTTCAATACTTCTTAAAAATCATGTATTAATTTTAGAATGTAAAACATAAATAAAAATATAAATTTTTAACACATCCTGGTCTATAGGGGCCTCACTACTCGAGTTGAGGGCTTTTTGACAACGTTTTTCTTTTTTAAACTTTTGAGCCCATTTTTTATAGGCATGCTCAGAAAAATGTAAGTATGGTGTCTACAAAATTTGAGAATATTTTGACATTATTTTTATTTTATTTTATTTTTCAAAGATAAAAAATAGAGAAAATCATAAAAAAATAGAATATTCATCAAAAAATGGTGCCGTTTGTTGCATTAATTCTTAAAAATCGTGTATTAATTTAAGAATGCAAAACATAAATAAAAATTTTAATTTTTGACTCATCCCGGCCCATTTGCGTCCCATTACGTGGGCTTTTTGACAGCGTTTGTTTTTTCATTTTTTGAGGCCATTTTTTTGCAGACATGTTGAGAAAAATGTAAGGATCGTGTCTCTGAAATTTCATAATTTTAGTAAATACTTTTTTACCACTTAAATGATTTTTTACCTGTCACAAATGAATCATTTATATGGTAAACTACTATTTATTTCAAATGGTTTAAAAATCTATTATTTACTTAATTTAGTTTTATAAATCTACTATTTACTACAATTTTCCTTTCATCACTCGCACACATTTTAATCCAAAAGGCTAACAAAAATTCAAAAATAACCTTCAAATGGTTTCCAAAAGATTATGAACATTTAAAAAAAAAAAAAAACATCAAAACCCTAAAACAAAACATAATATTTTCTTTAAGGAAAAGAGATTCGCCTGTCATGTTTTTGAAGGAAAACATAGAAATTTCCTCAAATAATTTTTTAGAAACTTGTCAAGAATATATATATATTTTTTCTTTTTACCTTGTTTTTTGGTAATCAAGATGTGTTGTCCCTGTCTCGGTGACTGTCCCTCTAATTAAATATTAACGCTTCTTGAATTGCTTAAGTATTTTTTAGTAATTTATTCTGATTCTTAAATTTAGATGGCATGACAAATAAATAGTAAAGAGACAGCCACCGAGACAAGAAAATAAAGATAACATATCTAAATTTGTATTTTCGTACACAAAGTGCAGTAGTGATGAAACCGAAACATATTTCCCACATTCAAAGGATACCTTTTCTACAAATAGAGGGACGATATATTGAGGAAAAAAATAGAAACTAGATGAATACGTGTAATTAATCTAACTAAAAAATAATACTAATAATCACCTAAAGATTGTTTTGAAAAGTTGCAGCGTACAAATCAAAATTCCAAAAAGATTTGTTTTGAAAAATTTTAGGGTACAGATCAAAATTCCATTTTTAATTAAAAAATAACACTAATAATCACCTAAAGATTGTTTTGAAAAGTTGTAGGGTACAAATCAAAATTCCAAAAAGATTGTTTTGACAAATTGTAGGGTACAAATCAAAATTCCAATAATGAGTTGAATTTCACGTCAAGCATTTCTTATATGAATAATACAGCACTGAAGAATACAAGACTTTTGATGTCTTATACTAATGGGTGTGGTAATAATACATCACTTTAGTGACACCCTAAATGGTTAATCAGTTTCTGTAAAGATAAGCAAAATGGAGAATTGAGACTCCAGAGGGTATGATCTTGTGTGACTAGCTTCTATTGTATACATTTGTCTTAAACTGTCTTTGATCTCTTCCACGCAATAACCGTGCCATAAAAATCAGATGAGGCCAACAGGTTTGCTCCATGGTTCCATGCAACATCCATAACCGGAAACCGATGGCCCTAACATTCGCATATTTTTCAATCAGTCTCAGTCGACACCAAACTCAGATGAGCCAATAAAGTATTAGTACAAGCGGATAAAGACGAACCTGCAACTTGTTTACGCATGTATGCTTTGGCCGAGTTAAATCGTAGAAGTAGACATTTGAATCCTCGCTTCCCGCAACTAACCATCGAAAGAGAATCACGATGTCGGTGAAATGAATAAACTATGGTCATGAAATTGAGACAGAAGATTCTAGGAAGTTCTCAGCACATGACAAAATAGTTGGAACCCTTACATTTCTTGATATAATAAATCAAATTTCAGTAAGCGTTGTGACAAAATTTTAGCAAGACTATATCAAAGCTAAGGCAGAAAGAAGTAACAAATAAAAACGGATACAGCTTCTTTCCACGGTTCATTCATGATATGCATAAACCGTTTTACGCAAAGCTAAAAGATTCCATATCCAGAGGCCGTTTATAACTTCAGATAGCAAAACAAGTTACGACATCTATACTGAGCAAAATACTAACCAACATATTCTCCTTTCTCAAGGGATAGCAAAGGACAGAAGGAAGCCCGAATGCTGTGTATTCGAGGAGTTAATTTGAGTGCGCAACGAAGAGTCAAGTAACCTTGTACTTCAAGAGCAACACTACAAGAGGAAAAAAAAATGGTTACCAGTACTTAAAAAGAACAAAAAAGCAACAATGCATAACCCTAAGAGCATGTCATTAACACTAAGAGCAACATAATAAATAAACTTTTGTTTTTTTCGGAGGGGGAAACAGAAATCAACGATACATGTGCTGACAAACCTAAAGAAAGACAAATATCCATCTCGAGTACACGTCAACAACACAGGGCCACGAGCCAAAAGTGAGAAACTTCGGTACTGCACAGTTGTGACAGGAGATTTTTGCCTGTTGCTAATTCGATATCGATGAGAACGGGATAATGCTCCTGTATGAGAGTTCATACTTACAGAGTATATACAGCCCTACAGAAGTTAGCTCAATAGATTATCAATAAAGGAGGTAAAAATCCATCAGATGACAAGATAATAAATGGAGATATAAGCTTGGACTCACCAGCGAATCACCACAAAAAATGAGCTGACCGGTGTGATCATGATCCATAGAGGTGACTTCACTGTCTAATACTGTTTTGTTAATTATCCTCCCAGTGCTGAAATTGAACACCTGGTGTATAGGGCAAATTGCTATCAACTAAATATGGTCCACAAAATTCATCATATATAAGACCAAGAAATGCAATATCCCGAGCCCATTTCTATCTGAGAGCATAAATCAGAATCAAAGTGTCCTATTAAAAACAGAGAATAGGTGTTTTTGAATGAAATTGAACTTCTCTACAGTATGCTCTATTACACAGGAATATAAAGTTCCCTGCTTATGTATAAATAAGGTAACTAATCTACCTAATTAAAGAGAAATAAACAGCTAGTAAATATCTCCTAAAATCCCTCTTTGACAACCAGACTATACTATGACAGCCTATCGACATTCTATATACAGTACATATTGATTACAATTATTTTAGGAATCTTCCAACACTCTCCCTCAAGCTGGCGTGAAGATGTCATTCAGAGCGACCTTGCTGATAAAACTTTCGAACTGTGCCTTGGGAAGACCCTTGGTGAGAATATCCGCAACATCGTTAGTGGTTGGTATGTAAGACATGCATATCACACCACTATCCAACTTCTCCTTGATAAAGTTTTTATCCACTTCTACATATTTTGTCCTGTCATGTAGAACCGAATTGTGTGCGATCGAGATTGCTGCCTTCTTGTCACAATAGACCTTGATCGGTGTAGGTATAGGAACCCTCAATTCTTCCAAAAGTCTTTTTATCCATAAAACTTCACAGAATCCATGTGCCACTGAACAAAACTTGGCTTTAGCACTACTTCTTGCTACCACATTCTGTTTTTTACTCCACCAAGTAACCAAATTTCCTCCAACAAAAGTGCAGTAACCTACTGTGGATCTTCTGTCACTTACACTACTTGCCCAATATGCATCTGTGTAGGCCTCTATATGAAGGTGATCTCTGTTTTTTAAGAGAAGTCCCTTCCCAGGAGTTCCCTTGAGATATCTTAGAATTCTGAATACAGCGTCAAAATGAGCAGTCCCAGGTAAGTGCATGAAGCATAGCTTACCACACTTACTACAAAAGCTATGTCAGGTCGTGTGTGAGCCAAATAAACTAGTCTTCCAACTAATCTTTGATATCGTTCTCAGTCAACTATTTCATCAGCAATGGCTGGTTCTAGCTTCAAATCAGACTCAATCGGAGTATCTACTGCCTTACAGCCAGTCATGCCTATTTCTTTAAGTAAATCGAGAATATACTTTCGCTGGTTTATGAAGATGCCTTCCTTGGATCTAGCAAATTCCATACCCAGGAAGTATTTTAGAGTTCCCAGGTCTTTGATCTCAAATTCAACATCCAACTTCTTCTTCAAGTTGTTGATTCCTACAAGATCGTCCCCTGTCATGATTATATCATCTACATACACAATCAAGATAGCTAATTTACCTCCAGTTGAGTGTTTGAAGAACAATGTATGATTAGCTTGGCTCTATGTGAAGCCATGCTTTCTGACAACATTTCCAAAATGCTCAAACCATGCTCTTGGGGATTGTTTTAGACCATACAGGGATTTCTTCAGCTTGCACACTTTACCCTTCCCAAGACATTCTTCAAATCCGGATGGTAGATCCATATAAACTTCTTCTTGCAGATCTCCATTTAAGAATGCATTTTTGACATCCAACTGATGGAGATGCCAGTTGCAATTAACTGCAAGACAAAGAAGTATTTTGATGGAATTTATCTTAGCAACAGGAGCAAAGGTGTCTTGGTAGTCTATACCTTGAGTTTGAGTGAATCCCTTTGCTACAAGTCTTTCTTTGTATCTTTCCACACTACCATCGGCTTTACATTTCATGGTAAACACCCATTTACAACCAACTGTCTTCTTATCGATTGGCAGGTCAATCACACTCCAAGTGTCATTCTTCCTAAGAGCATTCATCTCTTCTATTACTGCCGATTTCCAATTCGGATCACCTAATGCCTCCTGAACAGTTCTTGGAACAAACAAATTAGAAATCCTGGAGACAAATGCTTTATGATTGTCTGACAATCTTTCATAGGACAAATACTTAGTGTTAGCATATAAGATCTTTTTAGAGAGAGTTTGAAAAAGTCAAAGAGCTTTTTATTTAGTTTGTTATTTTCCGATTATATAGATTAAGAGTTATCAGTTAGAGTTTAAATTCAAATAAAGTAGATTAGCTAGTAGAAATCTTTCTACCGTGAACCTAGGAGAAGATAATAGACTCGGTATTCAAACCCTAGTCTATTTAAGTGTACTTTCATTCGATTAATAAAAATAAGGCAGTTCAATTAACCTGCGTTCACTTAGCAATAGGATGTCTAGTGCAAATTCGTGTTCCTTTCTTAGAACTATTGGAAGATAAAGATCATTTGAGGATGAATCAGGCAATTCAAGTGATAGAGAAGGAGTAGGAAGAAAGGATGGATTACTTTGAGTGGTTGTAGAAGAACCATTACTCGGTGAATCATATTGAACATCCGCTGGGGAAAAAACTGCTGTAGTGTCTTTGTGAAAGATCATTTGAGGATGAATCAAGCAATTCAAGTGATAGAGAAGGAGTAGGAAGAAAGGATAAAGATCATTTGAGGATGAATCAGGCAATTCAAGTGATAGAGAAGGAGTAGGAAGAAAGGACGGATTACTTTGAGTGGTTGTGGAAGAACCATTACTCGGTGAATCATATTGAACATCCGCTGGGGAAATAGCAGGTGATGTAGTGTCTTTGTGAAAATCTCCTTCGGGTATAAACCTGAAGTTCGGAATGAGGGATACTATGGCCCGTTTGGAGTACTTCTCCCCTTGTCTCCGATGCAACAAAATTAGGCAAAGTAAGATTAGGAAATTCACAAGTTATTTGTTTATCAAAAGTGATTAAAGGCATTGACTCAGAAACATTTGGCACAGGTAGAGTTATAGTTTCCCAAAAATTATCTTCCTCAACCCCTGAAGAGAATTTTTCTGAAAGAAAGGTTGGTTTTCAACAAAGATTACATCCATACTCTCAAAAAAATTTCTTGTGACATGATTAAAACATTTATAACCCATTTTATTAGATGCATATCCGATGAAGACACTTTTTAGATTTTGGATCCAGTTTGGATCGAAAGTTATTTGATATGTAAACATACATGTACAGCCAAAAACTTTCAGAGGTAGATCAGCACTTAACCGAGATGTGGGAAAAGCTATTTTTAAACAATTTAATGGTGTTTTGAATTTCGAAACAAGAGATGGCATTCTATTTATCAAATAACAGGAGGTTAGAAGAGCATTACCCCAAAGGTACTTAGGAACATTCATTGAAAACATGATGGCACGTGCAACTTCAAGCAAGTGTCTATTTTTCTTTTCGGCAATTCCATTTTGTTGCGGTGTATCACGACATGTGGATTGGTGAACAACACCTTTTTCCAAAAGAAATGTTCCCAAGTACTTGTTAAAATATTCAGTTCCATTATATGTTCTTAAAATGCCAATCTTAGTCTGAAATTGATTTTCAATCATGAGGAAAAAGTCTCTAAAGTGTTGTTAAACTTCGGATTTCTTTTCCAACAAATATACCCAACATACTCGGGTATGATCATTAATGAATGTTACAAACTACTTTTTTCCAGAAAGTGTGTAACCTTAGATGGGCCCCAAACATCACTATGAAATAAATAAAATGGTTTTGATGCAAGATAAGGTTTCAAAAGAAATGAAACTTGATGATCTTTAGCCAAATGACAAGCCTCACAATGTAACTTTGAACAATCATTCCCTTTAAACAATCCAGGAAATAAATGTTTAAGATATGGAAAACTAAGTCCTAATCTCCTATGCCACAACATTATTTGATCATAGACAAAGGTTGAACTACTACTACCTAATCTCTGAGCTTTTTTATTCCTAAAAGAAATCTCATCAAAGTAGTACAATCCGTTTATTTCCCTAGCAGTTCCAATCGTCTTCCCCGAGCTCTGGTCCTAAAAAACACAATGGAAAGGAAGGAAAAGAATAGAGCAGTTAGAATTTTTTGATAATTTGCTGACAAAGAGAAGATTACAAGCAAGTTTTGGAACATGTAGGAAGGAATTGAGAGTGATTTTTTTCAAAAATCCTAACATGTCCTTTGCCTGCAATTGGTGAGAAATTACCATAAGCTATTCTAACATTTTCAGCACCTAAACAAGGGAAATATAAGCTAAACAAATGTGAAGAACTTGTCATATGATCAGAAGCCCCTGAATTGATGATCCAAGGGCCGGCTTTTGCAAGAATAGAAAGTACTAAGGGTTTCATGAATAGGATTTCAGCAACTTAAGAAGCTTAAGCTGACTGTGCCATGGAACCGACAGGAATACTAGGTGATCAATTGGATTTCAGCAGCTTAAGAAGATGGTCTAACTGCTCCTTACTTCAGGAGAAGACTCGGCTTTCATTTGCAACGAGGGGGTTCTGCTCACTTGGCTTGTTTCCCTTGCCATTGGACGGAATCCTCACCTTGGCGAATTTCTCCAAGTCGCAACGTTAACTCGTACACTTGGGATTGATTCCCGAGGTCGGAATACATCTGTGACACATTATCCCACAGGTCTTAGGCGGTGGAGTAGCACATGTAATTGGCACCAATCTCCTCGGCCATGGAATTAACCAACTAGGTCATTACCATTGAATTTTCAGCATCCCAAATTGCATAAACCGGGTCCTTCACATCAAACTTCTTTGCATCTCCTATAATGTAGCCGATCTTACCCCTTCCTCTGATGTACATTCGGACTAACTGTGACCATTGGAGAAAGTTGTCTCCATTGAGTCGGAAGTGGTTATCTGTAGAGGGTGATTTTCAAATGGCTTTTCAACACTTTGGAGTTCAGGCCGCAATGACGATGACTGAGACTGAGTGGATTCGGACGTGGTTTCAGACATTGTCGGAGGAAAGAGCAGGTTCAAACCCTAGGATTCTTTCTCCGCTCTAATACCATAAAAACAGAGAATAGGTGTTTTTGAATGAAATTGAACTTCTCTACATTATGCTCTATTACACGGGAATATAAAGTTCCCCGCTTATGTACAAATAAGGTAACTAATCTACCTAATTAAAGAGAAATAAACAGCTAGTAAATATCTCCTAAAATCCCTCTTTGACAACCGAACGATACTATGACAGCCTATCTACTACATTATGACAGCCTATCGACATTCTATATACAGTAAATATTGATTACAATTATTTTAGGAATCTTCCAACGCCTATTGATTTTGTTTATGAGGACTGTGTGCTAAGCAGTAACGTTATGTTCGGCTAGTTGACATAAAAGCTTGCATGCATGTATGTAACAAAAAATACATATATTTATTTATATTTGATTCCATATTCCTTTGGAGGTTCTAGGTTTGGAATTAGACATATTATTGCAAAACCAAGTAATTGAGGGATTCTTTGCAAAATTAACTCGATAACTCAAAGATGGAACATCCCATAAAAACTTTTGGAAACTTATTTTGGTTTACTCCAAGATATAGCAATGAACAGAATGACGAGACTACCGTAATTTCTTTCTTTGCATTGCCAGCTGAAAGAAAGTTGTTATTTACCTGCATCAAAGAAATTGAGAAAAGAAAAGGGAAACCTTTATGGCATATGAAGTCACAAATTAGCAAATGAGACCAAACAATACATATCTATTATAAATTTCTGCAGCTCTGTAATCCGAAGGAAGACCAAAGGCGTTAAGAACAGGTTTAACTAGTGAAGATGGAACAAGATTCAATTCCAGGAAGATGGGAGATAAATAAAAGAAAGAAATAGGGGAGGAATGAGGAGCCTTAACAATATTTTACGTGTAAACAATGCAATTTTCACAGAATTCTATTTCAATTCACCCAACGAAACTTCAATAAGTAGGATCAGGCTAGCAAGGATGATGGTACAAAATTCGAACATGTATGTTTACTAGACTTACGAAGATAATAAATTTACAAGAGGGGGGTTTTAATTCTTAAAGAGCCGAATTACTTGATGATTTAGTGTATACTTACAGGATGAAAACGAATGCACATTTGTGAAGAAACTCCATATATTACTCGAATACAAAGACCTTTTGATATCTCCCATACTCGCAGAGTCTTATCCACTGACGATGATGCAATGTACTGATTGTTGGATGAGAAATCAAAGTCTGGAAATAAACAATAACTTCAAATTAACTTCTAATCTGTAGTGTGCCTCTGAAAGATTGTAGTAATTTCAGGCATCAACCTTGACGTACAACAGTAGGAAAGAAAAAGAGAAATGTAAGAGAATTAAAGAAAAAGAGAGAGTTTACAACTTGAGTTGACCTCGCAAATGTGTATACAAAACTCACGCCAATCTAACTTTGAATTCAGAGAGAGAAGAAGACAAACAAGAAGGAGACAATCCGAATATTCAATGCCATTAATCAAGCATTTAGTCTAAATAGCAATGACAATCTTTGGACCAATTAGGAAATTAAACTTATAACTACTTATTATCATATCGATCTTTCTCATAGTCTATTCATGTTTCTTATCAAACCTTTTATTGAGGTAATTTGATTAATTAAATTATGCCTCCATAAAATAAGAATCTGCTAAAAAATAAAATAAAATGAAACTGTAGTGACATGCCTAAAAGGGGACAGTAACAAGAGAACTATTCAATCCAGATCATATGCAAATCATTTAACCAGCAAATCATGTAATCACTGATGTCAAGTTTGCCCTTCAACACTAGTGGTTTCTTCTCAAGTCTTATCATTAGATTTTGAGCGGTAAGATGCTATGTTGTTTTGGAAGCTTAAATTGTTAGCCCGTTGAGAAGAAATCTACAAAAAGTATTTTTTTAATTTTTATTTTAATTTTTTTGTTGATAACCATGGCGCCCTAAGGCTTTGCACCAACTAATCCACGGGATCTATGCAAAGCACCCTCTCCACACAAATTATGTAAATGCCAGGCCTTCAGCCGGCGGGCATGGCCCCAAGGAATTGACAACACTCAATGAGAATCGGACCTTAGACCTAATGCTTCCTGAGGCACTAAGTCCAAGTGATTCACCACTGAGCCAACCCCTTGGGGTTATCCACAAAAGTTTATGAACAAAAAGGATCTTAGAAGCACAAACTTTAATACCTTGATCCCTTTTTTGTAGTAGCATTAGAGGGCAGCTAAGCGATGGGCACAATATTAGCCTTCATTGAAAACATTCAATTGACAAACTAACTTGAGATTCTATACAAAGAAAGTTAGCTTGAATTTTCTCCATTGGAAAGACGGGGATGAACTTTGGAGAAAATTCAAATTCTATTATTCGTGTTTTTATTCCATTTAATAATAGAAACTATCTACTCTGGCACCACATTTCTGCAGCAGTAAGATGGTGCTCGGTAAACTCAGGTCAAAATATGCCATCTATTTATCTGGATGAGTGTTTAAGCTTGTTCCAATCTAATGACCATTGATTGGTGTTGAAAAAATTAAGTGCTTTTAACACTAGAAAGCTACATACACCAGCCAAAAAGGAACAGAGATACATTGTCCTATGACACAGATGAGACAACAGAAGCAATACCAGTTAATCCAACCTGTAACATCTTTCGTATGCCCTTTCATATGCTGGATGATTGAAGGTGGGTCCGATACACTGCACACTGTCAACGTTCCATCTGATGCTCCATATGCAAGTAGATCAGAACTCATGTGACCAAACTTCAAAACCGTAACTGCAACAGAACTAATCAGGTTTCTTCTCACTTGAATTATACAGCAATGGAGCCAATATTTACACTTTAAGAAAAATTACCCGAGGCTTTGCTCTGATCAAAGATGCAGTGCATTCCTGCAAACGAGTATGGAGGTTCAACACCACGGAATCGTGGGCGATCATTATCACTAGCAGTTGAACTAAAACTATTTCTGCGACTTGAAGCTGGATTACCACTTTGCAGGTCCTGCAGTAAAGAAACCATGAACTTAATTTTAGATGGCACAAGAGAAAAAGAAGAAGAGAGTCCAGTATTGTGCAAACAAAGCCATCCTATAATTCACTAGAAACTCTACTTAATATGAATGCTCAAGTCCATAGACAATGTTCCAAACAAAGGTTTGAAAACCGTTAAGGTAAATAATTCAGATTCTATAAAAGAAGTTGCCATACCCTGGAAGAACTCCAGCTTTCCACATCAAACAACATGGATAGTGGACTTGGAGGTTGAACCCATCGCCCACTGATGCATCAAGCAGTAAATTATCCTGATGTCAGAATTATATGGAAACGTGATTTTAAAAGGCCACTTACAAGTTAAAAACTCGCACAAAGATTAAGCCTCTTAACAGTTTCTGAGCATTGGAAAAATATGATAGTACCAGAAAAGCTCAATAATTGATAAAAAGGCACAGAGACAAACAAATGAACAAACACATGACCAGTTCTGAGACATATTCTACCAGAGGAGAAATCAAAATGTACTTTTAAATGTTCCCAGTAGGTGTAGCTTAAATAAAAGTCCCAGGATGTGGAAAACCATCTTCACTGCGTAATATTCCTAACCATGACAAGTCATTTTCCTTTCTCAACCCCATAAAGAAGAAAACAAACATGGACATTTAATAATGATGATAATGATGACAATGATGATTTTCATCGATAAAATCATACAAACTACGAGTCTCCAAACAATAAAATCACAAAAACAATCTCTCTCCGAGTCCAATCTACCAACACCAATATAGCCACAACCTCAACACAGATAAACAGAATAAAAATTCTCGCTATCACCATGTAAATTGCAGAAGATAATTCTATGTAGTCATACTCTTTTTAAGTAAAATTGCTAGCAACCTGTTTCCGGGAGTGCTATTAACACTTGGTATTTGCATATTTTCCCAATTCCTTGGCCTGCAAATGTAATTATGATATGCCACATAACCTTTTCCATTGCATCGCCAATCCTTCACCACAAACCAGTATAGGAAGTCACTAAATTGAGCTATGGGAAAGAAAAATAACATAAATATTCAAGGAAAAACCAAGTCCTTGAACAAATCTACTGCTCAAAACATGCAAATTGACCAGGATTACATTATCAAAAAAAGGTCAATTGGTAACAGTAGTAACCATCTACAAATTTCAGAAGCCCATTATAACGTACTTCCCCTGTCTGGTCTCATGAATAAATATTCATATGCACATAAAGTGATAAGTGTTGAGAATGCAGAGGAAAAAGAAAAAGAGGAAGCCCTCTAAAACCCTTCCTCAAATCCCAAATTAAAAAAAAAGAAAAAGAAAAAGAAATTATCTTGTTGCCTCCATCATACAATCACTTATAAATGCATAATTGCATAAAGGATCTCTCCCATTTCGCTCGAAATGATCAAAACCGAGACTAACGAACCTAAGGGTCCAATTTCCTCCTAATTTCTTTCATCAACAAACAATCATAACAAGACCAAGACATCTCCAAGCAAATTTTCTACCTCACACTCAAACCACAGCTTGCTTATCCACTCTTCAAATCCCCAGAAACAATCAGATCATATCGATTTCCCTAGACTAATATTACAGAAATCCGAATCGACATTTCAATCATAGAGATTCAATAAGCAGCTAAAACCTACAAAACAGAAAACAAGCTCAAAACAAGAAGCACATACTCTCCGGCGAAAAACGCCGGACTCGGCCTTGCGATGAAGCAGGAGGCGACGAATTCCGACGTACTCAGGATCGGAATCGGAGCTCTTGGGCTGAAGCAAACAGCTGAACAATTCCGGATCTACATTCTTCCCCTTCTTCTCCTCCTCCACCACCACCTCTTGTGGACCATTCTTCTCGCTCATCTGCTCCGCCATTGTCGAAACGCTTCCTACAAATCCCTCATTCCGAGATCGCTTTCCTTACTCGAACGAGCAGAATTCTGCAGCAAATCAGATGTTCGTTTGAGATTGAGGTTGATGAATTTGCCGTTTCGCTTTGAATCGTGGAGCTTTTATGGAGTACGGTAAAGGTGATTACAGAAGTATGGAGGTGTCGGGAGTGTTTGGACGGAGAGAAAATCGTAGAAATGATTTAATCGGAATTTCTTTCGTTTTCCGCGATAGGAAAAATGACCTAGCGCCAAAATGCCAAAGCGGTGTTGGCAGTTGGAAACTACCAGACTCTTTTCTTGCGACAAATGAACATCTTGTAATAAAATTGTGCAAACGATATATGTCGTTTATAGTTAGACTGAAAACGACATCTAAGAGAATAGGAATATATCGTCTACCACAACTGCCAAACGACGCAAAACGGAATTGTCATTGTTTGCCCACTGGGAAAACGTCTTGTAGTTTTTTAAGTAAAAACGACAACAAAGAGAGACCTCAGAATGAGACGATAGAATTTTCCCCTATTTCTTTTTATTTATTTATTTATTTGCTTTCTTGAGCCATCAATGAATAAGTTGTAACCCCGTTCATTTCACCGATTCAAGTTTAGAATTCGAGTTTTACTACAGTAAAAAGCTCTCAGAAACAGTCATATTTAACTTTTTTACTACAGTAAAAAGCTCTCATATAAAGTCACATCTCAACTCGAATTAAAAATTCGAATCAGCGAACTAAACGGGAGACTTTTCATTTCTCGATTTATTTTCTCTTTTACTTTTTAATCCACGTGCTTTTTCTACAAAAAATGCTTAAAGGTATAAGAGATGTTAATAAGCACCACAACTAGGGCTGGCAATTTCGGACACGACACGATGAAACGATACGAAAACGATATGAGATAAATGGGTTTGGACCCACAATTATTAATTGGGTCATTAACGGGCTGACACGAATAACATGAAAATAAATGGGCTAGATTCATATCAGTCCGTTTAATACGGTTAACCCATTTAGTTATACGAGCTATTATTGGGCCGACACGGCTGTTTATTAAGCAAGTATATATATATATATATATATATATATATATTCCTTCGGTCCTTCCTCTCGCCCTACTTCTCTTTCACTCATTCTCTCACCCGCCGCTATCTCTTCTCCAAAGTGCTCCGCCGCCGCTTGCCCGCAAGGTCTCCAGACAGCTCCACCACCATTTCTTCTTCTTCTTCTTCTTCTTCTTCTTCTTCTTCTTCTTCTTCTTCTCTTGACTCTCTTGACTCTCTACAATATCCCGTCAAATTCGGCGTTGGGAAAGAAAAGGTCTTGCTCTTCTCATTTCTTCGCCAGATCAGCCTTTGTGAAGTTTTCTTCTTCTTTGTCTTTGTCAAATTCGGCCTTCGGGAAGTGAGATTCTCAACTCCGTTTCAGGTATTTCCATGCCAGATTCTCAGCTTAGGTTTTTTTCCTCATGTTCAAAAAATCCACTTCTGTGTAGATTTTTTATTTATGAACTTTACATGATTTCTACATCTAGCTGATGCTATCATAGGGTACTGTGGTTTGAGTGTTGATTGTTAGATTTAACGTCCAAGGGATTTAAACTGGTTTGAGTGCTTTTTTTATGGTTTGAGTGTCTAAACTTTACATGATTTCTAATCGCTGCATATTATACCCTTTTCCTTGTGTTGATCTTTATTGTTGAATTTTATCTCAATGACAAAAGATTGTGCAAAAGCTGGGAATATAGGACAAATTTTGCATTGCTTCTACTGTACTCTATAGTAATTGTTTCTGGTGTTTTGGTTCATCTGGGCATAGTATGAATGCCATTGAAGAAATTCAAAAATGGTAGTTTAGTTTCACTTGTGTAGTCTTAAACTTTCAATTACCATAAATTCAAAAATGGTTTTTGTTGCTTTGTTGATACATTTGGACCACTCTCTCTTGTTGCATAATAATGGTAAGTCGGTCAATATCATTGTAGAGGCTTATTGAGAGATATAGTTTGACAAATGTATGAAATTGAGGGAAGGTTTTGTGATTCTGAAATCTATAAGAGAAGCACTATTGAATTTGTTGGCAAGCACATTTCCTCGCATCATGATGTTGTTTTGTTGGTTTTGTGATTGAGTTCTGATTGATTCTTTATTTTTTCCCCATTTTTAGATGGATGATTTGCAAGATGGTGTTGAAGTAAATTTAAAGTCAAGCAGCGCTACTGCATCCGCCACTGCTACAAGTGATGCACTTATTGCATTGGAGTTGAAGGAGGATGTTGAGCTTGAAGCTAATTCCAAGAATCTGACAAACAAATCCAAATGCAAAAGGAAGCATACTTTTGTTGTCTGGAACCAGTTTGAAAAGCTTCCAATGGGTGCAAACCAGGAGCTAAAAGCCAAATGCAAGGAGAGTGGTGTGGTGTATTTGGCTAATAGCAAGAATGGGACTGGAAGCATGCGATGTCACATGCAATCATGTGTACGTAGAGACACATGTGACATAGGCCAACTATTGATATCACAAGACAAAAGGACTCTAGCATTGAGTGCAAAGAGGTTTGATCTTTAACACTTTCGTGAATTGATAACAACAACAATCATTTTGCATGACCTTCCATTCTCCTTTGTTTGAATTTTGCATCCTGAGATAACTTTGGTAACTAGAAATACTTTAAAGGCAAATGTCCAAAAAAATGTTTTCTCGGGAAAAAGCAAGAATAAAATCTATGTTGGATTTTAGCCTTGCTAGAATTGTTTGACATCTGACTTGTGGACTTCCATAGTTACAGATGGATATTTAACATTGATTGCCTAAGTTATTGATAAAGATTAGGTATTGTAGAAGAGGATTTTGAATTTTTACTTCATGCCACCACCACATACTAGTATTGCATTGTTTGAAAAACTTTATGCATTATTGTGTGAGTGGGGAATTGAATACAAGGTTTTCACTCTTACTTTGGACAATGCCTATACTAATGATGTGTCTGTTGATCTGTTGAAAAATCAGTTGATTGAAAAGAAAATGCACTTATTTCTGAACGTTCTTTTTTTCATATTCGTTGTTGTGCCCATGTTTTGAACGTTGTAGTGCAAGAGGAGTTGAAAGATATTGATACAATGGTTAAAAAGATTCGTGAGAGTGTGAAATATGTAAGAGGGTCCCAAATTAGAAAGAAGAAGTGTTTAGAATGTGTAAATCTTATGGGTCTTGATTCTAAGAGAGGTTTGAGGCAAGATGTACCTATAAGATGGAACTCCACATTCCTCATGCTTGACAATGTCTTGTATTATCGACGAGCATTTTGTCATTTAGAATTGAGTCATTCTAATTACAAGGACTGTCCTGATCCATATGAATGGGAAAAGGCCGAGAAAATTTGTGAATTTTTGAAACCCTTTTATAATATCACTTGTGTTTTTTCTGGAGCTAAATACCCCACTGTAAACTTGTACTTTCCAACTGTGTACACATGTTATTTGTCATTGAAGTCATCCGAGAGAAGTGAAGATGCATATTTGTCTGTTATGGCAAAAGAAATGCTTACCAAGTTTGAGAACTACTAGAAAGATTTCAGTTTGATATTGGCAATCACAATAGTGCTTGATCCTCACTACAAGTTGAATTTTGTAGATTATGCTTATGGCAATGTTTATGGAATGAAAGGGTCATCTCAAGTTTTAGAAGTTAAGAGAAATTTGGACCTGTTGTTTGTTGAATACTCTAAGGGCAAGGTTTCTACAACAAATGTTGTGACTTCACTTCCTACTCCTATTGCTAAGAACCCAGCACAAAAGTTTTTACAGAGGCAAACCAAAGTATTGAAGGTAATAGTTAGTTTATGAATGTTGTTAGCATTCATGGTAAATATTTATATATTGATTTTGTTAATTTAACATTCATTGTTCAATATTAATTGTTCTTTATTTGTCTTTTTCATCTTGTTTTATATCTTTGTGATTGTAGGAGTTCAACAACTTTGAAAGCCAAGAGCAAACTGGTATGCAGAAATCAGAATTAGAGGTTTATTTGAATGAGCCAAGAGTACAAGGGAGTGTTAAATTGGATGTTCTTGAATTTTAGAAAGGAAACCAATTTCGCTATCCGGAACTTTCTTGCATGACTTGTAATATCCTAAGTATCCCAATATCTACTGTAGCATATGAATATGCATTTAGTGTTGGAGGACGAGTATTGGATCAATATAGGAGTTCACTTAAACCTGTCGTAGTTAAGGCATTGGTTTGTACTAGGGATTGGCTATTTGGAGATAAAGGTTTTTTTTTTTTGTTTATTTATTGTATTAGCTTATGTTATCTTAAGTATTAACTATATAACTTATCTATTATGTGTAGAAAACAACAAATCAATTCGTGAAGCTATGGATGAAATTACTGAAGATGTTTTTACGTTGGATATTAATGAGCTAACTTCTGGTTCATCTCAAAATTCTCACAACCTCAACACCTCAAATGCAATGGAAGATAACATAAATTTCCTTGTGGCATGCCCATGCTATAAATTTCCTTTCATTAATAAAATGTTTTCTTTTTCTATGAATACATTAAAGCAATTGGAAACTAATTTTGATTTTTGGAGCGTCGTTGCGCATTCAACCTCAAAGAAGATATTTTCCTATATATATATATATATATATATGTTTGGTATTTAGATATTTTTATATGTGTTGGTTATTATGGAGAATTGGAGGATTTATGTTTTTCTTATTATATGCTCGCATGATTTTAACTATAAGTGATATTAAGTAGTCAATTAATATTAGTTTTGAATACAATATAAAATTCCAGTATTTTTGTTAATTGGGTCATAAATAGGTCATAAACGTGTTTTTTTTTTCGTATCGACCCATCACGGCCCCTTTAGTAATCGTGTTCCCGTGTCGTGTCGTGTTAACCATGTTATTAGTAGTTCGTGTTTAGGTTTCTGACACGTTTATTAATCGTGTCGTGTTCGTGTTTACTATAATCGTGTCGTGCTTGTCGGCCCAAACACGACACGTAAACACAAATTGTCAACCCTAACCACAACAAATAAAATGTGAGCCTCAATAATGAACTCATATTGTAGGACTAACTTTTTGTTAGTGTGTGGTGTTTTTATAAGGTTATACTTTCTAACTCATGGCATTTTAGACTTGGAAATAGTAGTGAAAAATCAAAAATAATTAACGCTAAGCATAAACAAACTTACAAGCAAAAAAAAAAAATGTTAGAGATCTCAATTTTTATTCTAAGTGTTTGAGATCAATTGATATGCTATATATAAGTTGCATGCTCTTATTGATAGGCGGTAAAAAATTAATCACAACAATTAATATAAAAACAATTATATCTATTAATAAACTAATGACAACTCATCACCATATGAATTGACAAAAAAAAAAAAAAAGACAAAAGCTAGGACCCCTAACACTATTTTATTAGAAAACTCTCAATCACTTTTTCATTGCAAGCAAACGCATTACATGACACATATCAAATTAAAGCTTAAAGCTTAAAGATATGATCTTAAGACGTTACAAAACCATTGTACAAGGCTACAACAGTAATCAAACAGAAAAAGGCAGACCACAAAGGGCTGAGGAAAAGATTGAAAATCTTATCGATAAAAAATTTTAAAATGTTTGTGCTATTATATTGATGAAAATACAAATGTTTATGTTATTTTCACACATTTATTTTCTCATTCATTCATCATTGGCTACTTGTGGTGGAATCATCAACTTGATGCCAGTGTCTGTTGGAAAACCACATGGAATCAGCTTCCACCGCGTTTCCGTCTTGGTTCCGGTGCCAACCGTAGTACGCATGGGTTCGGTTTTTGATGTCGAAAATGGCGTGACCAAAACTGGCCTCACGGTACGCTGAGTATGCTGGCTGTGGCTCTGTCATGCTGCAGAAACAAAATAAAGACATGCAAGTGCTTAATAGTGTCACAAAGTAGAGCAAAAATTTCAGCAGAAAAGATCAATGTTATTATAGAAAAAATGATCTTATGATCTTCTCACTTGGTTGCTAAGCCTTCAAGATTTCCTCCGTCTCCAATGGTTATGTACACAGGTGCAGATTGATCTTTCACAGGAGAGCAAATTCCATTTACGACATTATAAGCTATGTTGGACACACGTTCCTGTGGTTATTATGCACAAGCATCAAATACCGAATTTAGGAACTTCGTATGACAAAAAACCGTTGCAAGTGAGGCACTAACACTAGTGCAAAACTTTTCTTGGTCCCTTTAAGATCTACTCTATTATAACCAAATTTTCATTCTTTTAGTTAAAATCGAGATGTGGAGAAATTACAGAGCGTTCGTAAGCGTGGACATGACCAGCGAATACCACATCCACTTTGTATATCACAAACCATTCCTCATACATGACTCTCATGGTTTCTCCTTCCATGTAGTGGTAGTTGTAGCTGTTATACCATGGAGAATGCATTAGAACTATCAACCATGGCGTCTCGCTCCTGTTAACCTTAGGTAGCTCATCTTTGAGCCATCTGTACTGTGGTGTGTATTTGCCTACAAGAATACAGAATCCAAAAATATTGTTAACCAAGTCAGGAATTGACTCGATCTTCCATTGCCATGAAAGGTTTTTTTATTACTTTTTTTATGTCTTCTGAATGATTCATAAGAAAATTCCATCACTCGTGGGGTGTTATACACTGATCTCAAATCAATTCCACCACTGCCTTAATCCAAATAGTATTAGAACAGTTCAGATTATATCATTGATTTTTCAAGTAGCTATTGTCAAGTACTTGTAAGTGTTTTTTATTCTATGAAAATAAAAGTTAATCAAAACAACTTAATGAGGCATCCGCGGTTACTAATCTTCCAATCACATTGTCCCAGTTGAACTGCAACAGTTTGTAGTAATGATTTATCTAAACTCTACTTTTGTGAACACAATATATATATATATATATATATTTATAATATATATTTACTGAAAAATATATTCTTACCATATGCAGAATATGAAGCCAATACAATGATGTGAGCAGAAGCCCTCTTGATTGAGTACCAGAAAGGAGCTGTACTCCCTGATGCTTTATAAGGCATGTGATACCGCTTAGTATAAGGCTTGAATGGTTTAGTTTCTCCCTGCAAAAACAAAAAAGTAACGAATCTGGTTCCAAAAACTCTCCATTCTTTGTGTTAAACTTTGTTAGGAATTTGAAAATGACAAAAGGAAATTTTAAATCAACAATACAAGCATCATGTAGATATTAGATTCCAAGTTCATTTCAAAATCACACTTGCAACTTTCCCATGACATAGGACAGTGAAAAATAGCTTAGTATAGAACAACAATATCATGTGATTTTAAGATTCCTCAAGAAGTAAAAGATGTTAGCACAAACTGCAGAATCAATTTTGGAAGTTAATACAGAAATGACAGCTTCTAAGAACATAAAATTCGGATAACTATGGAGATGTATGCTAAGGTCCTCACAATTTCAGGAGCAAAATCGATTTCATGATTTCCCGCAGTCCATATCCACGGTTGATAAGCAGTGCTTCTCTCCACAAATCTTCCCCATGCATCCCATCTGGCATTATCATGGTTCGGATAAGTATCTGCGTAAGACAAATCCCCAACAAAAAGTACCGTTTGCCCCTTCTGCAGATTTGATTCGTAATGAGTGAGTGTCCTATTTGAATCGAAGCTCTGACCAAGATCCCCTGCATATGAGAACCAATGTTAAGATGCGCAATTCTCACATGTAGACACCGAACAAGTAGGCCAAAAAAATCATTCAAACAAAGAAGCAATCCTACATTTTTAAGTCTTCTGGTAGTAAGGAAATAACTAAGTTTAGCCTATCCAAAATGACAAACTTACAAAGAGAAAAAGAAACTCATGTATCCAATTGGTGAAGATTTTATTAATCATGGATATATCTGAATCCTAATGCTATAGCTAATTGCTACCTCAATTTTTCAGTACCAATTACCTATGAGACCAAATGTGTAAGGGACATCAGGGCCAACTTCTGGGGGAGTTGTGAACCAGAATTTCCTCTCAGTATGACCAACTCCAACCACATAGTAATATTTGGTATTGAACTGCACAAAAAGAAATAAAATAATAATTACTAGAAATAAAATAACCAAAATCAAATTTCATTATTGTTTGAATGTGTTTCACCCAGGGATTCTTCAGTTCCCTAATTTTACTAATATTGGGGACTTAGATTTTGAGGATGAGGTAAGAGAGAAATACAGAAAGTCTGAGAGGCGTGCGGTAATCTTCTGCTTCGTTATAGTGAAATTCTATATCAATTGAAAGTGAGCGTAGTCTCAAGATAGATCATTACAAATCATGTGTGTACTTTTTTGTCTTTCATTTGTATTTGTTGCTTTCATAAATAAAGGATTGGGGCGCTTAAGCCTGTTTGTTTCGTGAGTTAAAACTACAGTTCAAACCTTTTTGCTTCTCTTGCGATAAATTCTATTCAAAACTGTGAACCAAACACGCCTTTATAATCCGCAAAGCAATTCAAACCAAATTTCAGAACATAACATCACAATAGCAGAAGAGTTAAGAACCTAGCATATGCAATATCTATGCAATATCATTATATATATGTATATGTGTGAGTATTTACCTCCAAATTTCTGATGGTGCAATGATGAATATAACCAGAAGTGTAGTTGTAGAACTTATAGGTAGTGAATTTTCCCTCAGCCACCTTCTTTTGCTTTCTATGCCATTCACTCCAGTAAAGCACTTTACTTGAACCCGGTTCTTCCACAGTCACCCATGACACAATCACTGCTTTTCCCACTTGGTCTCCTTGTGTGATATGAACCTTAAATTCAACAACAAAAAAAAAAAAAAAAAAAAAAAAAAAACCATTAAAGCCATAACTACTAAAAATCCAAATTTGACCAAAAAAAGGTATTTTAAGGAACATATTTTTCATTTTATGTACCTGTTGAGGAGCATTATAACCATGAGGAACTTGGAAAACGTCACTGTCGAGAGGCATATCATTGGTTTTCTCAACTTTTCTAACGAAAGTGCTTGTTTTGCCTCCATTGCAAAAAACTGCAATATTCAGAAGAAGAACCAAACCCAGTAGAAAAACTACAAAAGAAGATGAACCAAAGAGACCCATTTTGATCTTATCATAGAAAAACCTGCATTTAGAAAAGATTATTTATAATTTGTGTCAAGTTTTGTTGGGCATAAAATGTGGGGAATATTCAAAGCTATAAAGGAATATACAGATTAAATGTCAAAGAGTTGAATTCTAAATTGTTATGGGTTTCCCTTGGATTTCTCTGACAGTTTGTTATCTTCTGTGAATTAAAAAGAAAAAAAAAATTTTGGCGAAAAAGTTGACTTTGTAGTCATATCATTGGAAATCGTGAAATGAACGTGTGGTCATGTGTGAACAAAAGCCAGCATAATGATTTCGTATCTTACCACATTTAATAAAAATAAAAATAAAAAACATTAATATGCAAAATATAATTATTGAAAAGTGTAAAAAAAAAAAATTTTGTTTGTCTAAAGATTGGCCGGAGACATTTAGTTTATTGATTAAAATAATTTTTTATTTATGTACATTTTTTGTGAAAGTAAACTTGTATTGTGCTGTTATTTTTTTGTTTTTGTTTGAATACAAGTTTCCTTTAAAAAAAAAAAGATGCAATGTTTTTCTATTAAATACTTAACAAAAATGTTAGTTTTTGTTAGTAAAATATATTATGGAAATTGTAGCATGGCAAGAATGGAATTAAAATAGGGTTGTCTCTTAAATTTGATTAAATTGACCGGTTGTCAGTTGTCTTATGAATTTTTATTTATTACGAATTATTTTATGATTTTAAAATAATTTGTAATTTAAAAGAAACCCCTTCGTAAATTTGAATAATTGGCTATATCGTAATTTAAAATTACAATTTATTTCATTCAAACGAGTTTAAGTAATGTGTACAAAAGTTTTTTTATTTTTTTTTATTTTAATCGTTGTCATCGATTCAGGGTATTTTGCTATTCTTTGTTAAATTTAAAAGTAATTTTTTGAAATTAAGAGTTTTGACGAATAATTTGTTAATTGTGAAAAGTTCTTTTGTGTCGGATACTTATATGAAATTATTATGAATTTGAGATATCTTGCGTAGTATATAAAAAAAAATGAAATATGAAACGACATCTACGACCTACAAATTAAATCTATAAAATGTGATCAATAAAATAATAATAATAATAATAATAATAAGCAATGATGAAAAAAGTGTTAGTGAAAAGGTGTAAAGTCCATTATTTAAAACATTGAGAAGTTGAAAAAGGATTGGCTCTCGTGCGAGATTCGGATTTCGGAACTGTTGGATAGAAATAAAGTTGTCCCACTTTAAGCGTTACTCAATGGAGTTTACTACCTTTAGCATATGCCATATAGATACAGGGACAAAAGGAGGAAAATAACATAATTACTAAATTATAATATATTTTTTAAAAATAGTAAATAATAACATAATTTAATATTTAATTTTAAACATTATTAAAACTTAAAAATATTTTTAAATTTCATTTTCTACTTCACTCTTCTCTATAAATATCTATTTTTAAAAAATAGTAAATTATATAATATTTTTTAAAATAGGTAGATTATAATCAAGTTCAGTAATCCACCATGGTCGAGACAGACGACTGGCAGCCAACTTCGGCGATCAGCTTTGGCAACCAGCGACCGGTACTGTTTTCCGGTGACTATTTTCTTATGACCGTTTAACACTGTATTTATCGGTAAATGCCGTATTTACCATTTAATACCGTATTTACTAATAAATATCATATTTACCCGCGAAGCCGACCACCAATTTCAGCGACCGTTTAACGCTGTATTTACAGGTAAATACCGTATTTTACAGGTAAATACTATATTTACCAATAAATAATGTATTTACTAGTAAATATCATATTTACTAAACGAGTTATTATTTTAGAACGAATAACGGGAATATGTTATAGTTTACTAAGTTTAAAAAAAAATGATATTCACTTCAAAAGATGGTATAAAATATGCTATTCTATGCATTTTCCCATAGATATATAGATATAGGTGATACCCAAAATCATCACATGTCATTTTTCGACATTGTCGCTTTTTAATCGTCAATAAAAAGACTTTGATATTCTTTTGTTATGAAATGTGATGAAGGTCCGTTTAAATTGGCTTCAAAAAACTGTTTTTGACTTATTTAATTCAAAAGTCGTTTTAAACCTGTTTTGATGGACAGCCTTAAAATGTTTTTAACTTTTTAAGTACTTTTAGAACAAATCATCTCCTTAGTGCTTATGAAAAAAGTGTTTATGAAATGTTTTTTTATTTATATTTTTAACCTTTTATTTGTGAACAACAAATTAAATATTTCATCCATGTCCTTTTATTACATTATTTTTTATAATAATAAGTGCTTTTGACTTTTGCCCCAAACAAGTTCAAAAACTCTTCCTAGATATAAAAGCACTTTTTTAGGCACTATCGAAATACTAATTAAAAAATCCTAACTTATGCTTATCTTCTTTTGGTACTTAAAAGTACAAGCACAAGCTATCCCAAACAGGCCTGAAGTGAATGGCGAGATTACTAAATTCTACTGAGGTTAAGAAATTCAATTATAAAGGATTATTTATTGAGGTGCTTACCAACATTTCAAAATAACAATATGTAACACCCCGAAGAATTAAATAGGATTAGTTGAGGTAATTGAGATTTATTAGTGTGCCTAATCTGATTTAATTAATTGATTATCATTTATTAAATGTTTCTGACGAGTAATTTAAATAATTTCAAGGTCTTTAAATATTCTCAGTATTTACATTTTTATCAAGAAGTGTGTATGGGTACATTTCTGGACTGCCTTTTAAATTTTTGTGACACCTGTCCATTTTCTTTTTTTTTCTTTTTCCATTTTCCTTTTCTTTTTCCTTCCTTTCCTTTCTTTCCTTCCTATGCATACTCTCTCTCTCTCACTCTCTCATCCTCTCACTCTCACTCCCTCTCTTCCATTTTCTCTCAAATCAACTAGATTTCGAACCAAAGGAAGATTTCAAGAAGTTTTCAATGCTAAGAGAAGGATTCGAAGTAAGATTTTTGAAAAACTTCTCTTGAAACTCAGATTTTCATATTTAAAAACTTATTTTTAGTTGAAATGGATTTTGAGTAAAATTATGGTAGAAATTAGAGATCTTAGGTTCTTTCGACTTGATTTAGTACTTAGAACCCGGATCTAGTGGTTTTCCTTTGAAATATTTTGATTTGAGACTCGAATTTGTAGGTTTTGTGTTGATTTTCTACGGATCGGCCCTTCTGGCCATCCTGCCCTGATTCCACCGGTCGACATGTGCAGTCGACCGGTCTGCACTATATCAGGTCGACCTGTGCGGTCGACTGAATTGCACACCACCGGTGGTGTTGCACTGCTCTGTCACCGGTCAACCGGTGTACACTAGATTTGATCCTGTTTTGTTGAAAAACCCTGTTTTGACCTCGGTTTTTTAGGATGACCCAAATTAGCTTCATTTGGGGACCTAGAATGAGTGGATTAGCATCTTTAATCCATGTTTTGAGATTGAAAACCCTTGGAATGATGATTTGAAACATGAAATGGTTTGTGAAACCGGTAATTGAATTATGGCACACTAATAGGAAATCCAATGGTATAATTGAGATTGAAATTGCTTTAGGAATGTGAATTGGATCATAAAGCGTAGTTTTGTATCAGTGCTAGCTGAGGACTCGGATTGAGGGGCTTGAGTAAGCGAAATCCGGAATAGAGTAACGCTAGCCACATGTTTGATATTTACGAGGTAGGATTTCTTACCCCTTTCTTTGTGAGCCTGTTTTCAAAAGGATTTTGGCCTTGTAAATGTTTTAAAGAAATGGCATGTTTGCGAAAGAAAAATACTTTGACCCCCATGGCTTGTGTAGATTCTGGGGAGTATAATGAATTGTTTCATAAAGTTTAATGAAAGATTTCTTAAGACAAGAGATCTTGTGAATCGGTAAAACAGCTGATGACCTAGATAGGATGTGGAGAGTGCATCCTTAGGGGCAGGACCCGAAACCCGGCGCTGGGGTCTTATGGCTTATGCACTTGGTTGTGTAAGTAATTTATCATAGTATAAATTACTCGCTGATGCCTGTAATATGGAGATTTTCAGTTATATTTCCTTTGAGAAAAAGGATGTGAGGTTCCAGGTGTTGTGTTGGAACTGAATGTCTTATTTATTTATTTATTTACTTGCTCACTCATTTATTTACTTATTTATAAAGTTATTTCAAAATATATCCTACTGGGCATTTCGCTCGCGTTTTATTGTTTTATAAATGTTAAACCCCTCCCAGGCGATTCTAAAAGCAATGCAGAGTAGCTGAGTTGCTACCAACTGATTTGGTGAGGATTGTAATCATCATCCTAGTGTACGAATGTAAGAATTTGTAAATTCTGTAAACTCTGATATTTGGAATTTTTAGACTGTGGTTTATGTCTGTAATGTTATTTACATGTCATGTATGTATGATGCTGAAATCCGGTGGATAGCTCCTGTGGGTGTAGCCCTGAACAGTGTTAGAGGCTTGAGTTTTAGTGTCTCCTTTGGAATGTATAATTTAATTTTCACTAAATAGTGGGGCTCGTTTGGGAATTTCCTTAATATTTTATTCTTAATCATGTTTAACTCATAATTGAGCCTCCACGTGACCAACCCCTGCCCCGGGGCGTGACAGAGTGGTATCAGAGCCCTAGGTTTAGGAACCATAGGATTGTACATACATGTGTGACATCAGGAATCTACTAAACAGTCTAGTTTCTTTTCAGTTAAAGAAGATGCCACTACGTCGTAGATCTGTTAACCAACAAGCACCACAGAACCAGGAGTTCATGGATGCCATGTATGCCGTTTTTCAAGGCATGGACACTCGAGCTCAGAATGAGCAACCGGCTGAGGACATGAAGCAGAGTTACTTCCGTGAGTTTAGGCGTGCACTTATCCCCACATTCAATAGTGAGGGAGGACCTCAGGAAGTGGAGTACTGGTTTAACTCCATAGTTAAACACTTGAACACTATGGGAGTGCCGGAGGAATATTGGATAGAATTCGCCGTGTATAAGATGAAGGGCCAAACAAGCAACTGGTGGAAGCAAGTAAGAAGAAAACTTGACGTTGCGGGAATGACTTGGAAACAATTTGAAGTTATCTTCAAGAACAATACTTCCCTCAGAGCTATAGGGATGAGAAGGCAATGGAGTTTATGACCTTGCAACATGGCGATATGTCGATAAGGGAATACGAGGCTAAGTTTAACGACTTGTCCTGCTTCGCGCCATCTCTGGTGGAGTTTGAGCATTTGAA